AACAAATTGATTAGTTGAATTTTAGTGACATGTAAATAAATAATAATTTATAAAATTATCCTACAAATACAATCAGATGAAATATGTAACTTTGGGAACACACCTTTTGCATAAGGTGAATGTAACAACTCTACATGAGATGGTTTCCTGGAGACTGGTATTGTATAGAGCCTTTTTCCTGTACTATGTTATTATAAGCTCATACCAATACATTTGACTGACATTTGATCTCCTGAGACTATTTCATGATGAAACAAAGTGCGGTCAAGCAACTGACTATACATTTTATCAATAACTATATCCAGTAGCTGCTATTGGTATTGATCTGTAACTCACAAGAGCAAGGAATGGATCTTCCTGCTGTAGGATTTTCTTGGCTGTCTGTACAGCTCTCTCAGCCTCTCCACATACTTGTAGGTAATGTAAGCTGCTAGTAATATGATCAAAATCATATTTGGTTCAGAAAGATTTAAATTCCATTGCATTGAATTGTGGTCTGTGGTCTGTCACTAGTTATTATGGAATACCTCAGTGAACAAAAATGCACTTCAGTTTCTCTATAACACTGTCATATTATGTCTTTCAAGTACATTATTTCTATATATTTGGAAAAATAGTCCACAAAGATGAGGTAATGATATCCTTTGAATTTACATAAATCTTCAGCTACTATCTTCCAAGGTCTGTTTGTTAGAGGTGTTTGTACATTGTATCGTTCAGTATTTTCTCAAGTTTATTTGTACTGGATCTCCTTTCCAAAGTCCAATATCCTCAAATACTCCATCGAATTCTTCCACATTTCTCACTAGGCCCATCAAGGCTGCCATGCTGCGTCTAAGAAAGTTTTTGGTCTTTGATCATAGAATCATAGAATCATAGAATATAAGGGTTGGAAGGGACCCCAGAAGGTCATCTAGTCCAACCCCCTGCTCGAAGCAGGACCAATTCCCAGTTAAATCATCCCAGCCAGGGCTTTGTCAAGCCTGACCTTAAAAACCTCTAAGGAAGGAGATTCTGGTGTGTGCTGTGAACGCATCTCCTTTGTCTTTGTAAGTTATTTCCATAGTGAACTGGCCCATGCAGTTCAGAATACCTTCAGGGCTAGTCAGAGCTGTGTCAGGTGACTTCAGCTCTGAAAGGGGTTGAAGGTTATTATAAGTCCTGTCTGAGTTGACTGTGAGGTCTGCTCCTGAATCACTTTTAAAGTCAATAGTCTTTCCATGAATAGGCAAGTTTCACTCTCCAAGCAGGTTCCGTGTCATCACACATGATAGATCCCAGAAACAGTGACTCTTGATTGTCTGTAATATGAGTCAACTCCCTAACTGCTTTGGTGAGACAAAGAGCCACAAAATGCCCATATGCTGTGCATTTATTACACCTGGAGCCTTTGGCTCGATATGCATCATCTCTTGGGATATGAATTTTTCCATGTCTCCCCTTCTTCCCTTTAGCCAGTTCTTTATCCACCTTACAATTCTTCTACTAATCCCCAGCTTCTTTAATTTAACTAATAATTTTCCATGCAGTACAGTCTCTAATACTTCACTGAAGTCCAAGTATATTAGATCTACTGTATTCCCCTTATCTAGAACATGAGTTATTTTCTCAGTAAAGAAAATCAGGTTAGCCTGGCATGATGTATCTTTGGTAAACCCATGTACTGTGAAACCAATTTATCAACAACCTTCTTGAACTGTGGACACCACAACTGGACATAGCATTACAGCAGTGTGTGTACCAGTGCCAATTTGGGGCCCCCGGAAAAATCTCCCTTCATCTCAGCCCCGGGGCTGGAGGAGCTCTCGGGGGGACAGAGCTTCCCAGGTCTTGGGGCCGCAGCGGGGGGTGGTGTGCACTGGAAAGGGGAGAGCGGCAGGGCAAGGGCACATTGGGTTGGGGTCATGGGCGCCTCAGGCAGAGGGGGCAGAATGGGGTGAGGCCACAAGCAGATAGAGCAGGGCTGTGGGTGGAATGGGGGCGGGGTCACAGCAGAAGGGGAGGAATAGGCTGAGGCCATGGGTAGGGCCATAGGTGGAAAGGGTGGGCTAGGGCCACAATTCTAAGGCCAGGACCCCCCACCCCCACTTGCTCTGCCCCAGGGTCCCAGTAGTAGACCTTAATCCATCTCTAGACTTGAGAAACCTTCATAGTGGTACATTATCTTAGAACAAATGGCACAACTCAGCCACAATGACATTTGTTGCTTATCAGTTTGTTGACTGCTAAATTATTATCTGAAGCTATGAAGTGTGACAGAAGGTCTGGAGTCCGCCACTAATATACATTCCATGGCAAGGGAAAATTGCTTAGGTGGTTAAAAAACAAGAAGTCTGGATGAGCTGGATGCAGCCAGAGAAAATTATTTGTAAAAGGCTGTGCTTGAGTTCAATAGTTAGGCACTGGAAAGACAGCTATTATCTCCTGGAAGGTGGAAAAGCAAGTGCTTGCCAACCCTTCTGTATGTGTATTTATCTTCAGAAAAGTGTTTTGGGAAAATAGGGCTAGAGCAGGGGTGGGGTGGGAGAGGTTTATAAGGGATCTAGGGTGAAGAAATGGGAAACAGCTCTCTCTTTGGACACAGGAGCATGAGACTGATACATTGAACAGCAGAGGTCAGAGAAGGGAGTTGCTCTTTAGACATGTAAGAGCATTCTTTCTTCTCTAGCTAAGCTAAGGGAAAAAACCTCTCTGGGCTCAGATTGAGTATCCAAATGAGGTATGTTATGCAAACCATTTATTTTAATCCTCTTAATTTGTAATAAATCCTGTTTTAAGGCAGCTACTCATAGACTCAGACTTTAAGTCCAGAAGGGACTATCATGATCATCTAGTCTGACCTGCACAACAAAGGCTACAGAACCTCACCCACCCACTCCTGTAATAGACCAATAACATCTGGCTGAGTTACTGAAGTGCTCTCATCATGAATTAAAGACTTCAAGTTACAGAGAATACACCATTTACATTAGTTTAAACCTGCAAGTGACCTCTCCCCATGCTTCAGAGTAAGGCGAAAAACCTCAGTGTCTCTGTCAATCTGACCCAGGAGAGAATTCCTTCCCAACCCCAAATATGGTGCTCAGCTGGACCCTGAGCATTTGAGCAACACCCAAAAGCCACACTCCAGGAAAGAATTCTCTGTAGTAACTCAGAGCCCTTTCTATCTAGTATCCCATCACTGGCTACTGGGGATATTTGCTACTAGCAGTCCCAGATCGGCTATATACCGTTGTATCCAGTCTCATCGTACTATCCCCTCCAAACACTTATCAGGCTCTATCTTGAAGCCAGTTAGGTGAAGGTTTCTAACCATCCAAGGAGTGAAATTCTGGAATAGCCTTCCAAAGGGAGCAGTGGGGGCAAAAAACCTAATTTCAAACTTAGATTCATAGATATTAAGGTCAGAAGGGACCATTATGATCATCTGGTCTGACCTCCTGCACAATGCAGGCCACAGAATCTCATCCACCCACTCCTGCGATAAACCTCTCACCTATGTCTGAGCTATTGAAATCCTCAAATCGTGGTTTAAAGACTTCAGGGAGCAGAGAATCCTCCAGCAAGTGACCCATGCCCCATGCTACAGAGGAAGGCGAAAAACCTCTGGGGCCTCTTCCAATCTGCCCTGGAGGAAAATTCCTTCCCAACCCCAAATATGGTGATCAGCTGAACCCTGAGTATATGGGCAAGATTCACCAGCCAGATACCCAGGAAAGAATTCTCTGTAGTAACTCAGATCAAATCAGACTTGTTGATAGCCAGTTTACATCCATTTGTCCACATAGTCTGCCTTAAATGAGAGCCAAGTCGTCAAACCTCTTTGAAGAGGAACAGCATGAAGAAAGGCATTGTAAGCTGTGTACAGCCTTCCTGCCCTAAAAAAGTCCTGATAGGTTAGGGGTGGGGCACATACCACACCCTGGTTTTTTGCCGTTGGCCTGCCTCCCATTGTGGGGGTGGTATAGTAGCTGGAGATTGGCTACTGACCACCTGATCAGCGATCCCCCATTGAAGGGGAGGAATGTCACTGCAGAACAGAGAGGGAATTAGCTGTAGGTCACCTGGTTGCTCTAGGTCAATCAAGCTGGCATACGGACAGGATTGGGAAAGTGCTGCTGCAGTGGCAGGCTGTTTCATTTTGTGGTGGGAGAAAGACATCAAAGGAGGGGACAGCTGAGAGCAACTGTGGAGAGTCAGGCAAGGGGCAGCAGCATTCAGCACCCCAAGCTCCCAATGCAGCCCAGCATCTGTGACTTCAGCAAAGCGCCAGTTGGTACCCGGGATGGGACAAAGCACTCTGGGTCAGTCTTCTTGGGCTTTTAATTGGGTTAGAGAGCATTAAGCATTGGGGGCTGTGCATACTGTACTATTGCTAGGAAATGTGTATATGTAGAGAGGGCTATACTCCTGGAATTTGCCTTGATACTGAGTGAGATTTGCCCTGCTTAGATACGAGTTGTTTTATTATTGAGAGAAGTGTTGGTCCTGGGATTAACTCCTGCTTCTCCAAGGGTGGGTGTGTGCGTGTGTGTGTGCAGGGGTTTGGATAGGAACAAGGGGAGATAGTATTCCCAGACTCATGGTCTAGGATCTAACAGTTTGCCTGGAGTCCAACCCCCACCATCTCAATCAGAAAGGCATGGACAGAAGCAACTTCTTTCAGCAAGATGTGCTGCCCAAGGTTATGATGGGTGCACACAAAGAGAGATGCTTACTGTACCAAAGAGGAGGTGTGTCAACAGAGACGTGGATGACATAAAGTGGCAGCTTTTTGGTATATTTTTATTGCTGGACTTCTGAGAGAGATTTGTGGGACAAGTGCCATCTTAAACTTATTAGACAAGGTGGGTGAGGTAATATCTTTTACTGGCCCTCACCCACCTTGTCTCTAATATCCTGGGACCAACATGGCTATAATTACATTGAATACAATAATGCCTCATCATCTTTTGCAAAATACGCATCCACATTGCACAATAATTATGTTTGTTCATTACCTGAAGGCTCCACTGTAGCTATAATAACGTTCCTGGGTACTTGCATCACATTTATTGTTTCCACTGTTATCTCCGATGCAAAGCTCACAGAGTTTTGATGGGTAATTGTCCATCTTGGCTGCAGGCACACAGCTAGCAGAGAAAAAGTCACTCACAGCTGAAAAAAGAAAGATGTGCCAACAAAAAGCATGGATAGGTGAGTGTCAGCCATTCACAAAACACCTAGATTACAATATCATTTAATTATATGGCAATGCAGGTTTCACTGAAAAGCCAGCAACATGCATATTATATTAGGCTTACTGGGACTGACTAATTATATCTTTCAAAACATCTTCAAAATTCAGTCTAGATTGTTAGCTGGCGAGATAGGCTGAAGAATAGATTGGATCAGATTCTCCAAGAGCACATGCTAAGCTTATAGTTGGTTAACAGGGGGTACAAACTGCTTTGATTACAATAGACACTTCAGCTACATTTCTGAAAGTTGGTTTAAGATTTTGCATGTCCATTTTGTTAAAACAAGCAAATCAATTAATTCAGTGCAAAAATGTGCCCCCTATGTAGAAAATACACTTGCACATTTAAAGAAGGCTACGTATAATACTGGGCCTGCCCACTTCTTTGTTCATTAATTTGCACACACATTATTGATTAAAAATGCAATTGCAGGGGTAAAACTCTACTTCGAGAACTACTCATTCTGGGCCAGAAGCCTGCAGACCTTGTTTAATCTTTACTCCAATAAGGTCTTGATGAAATAGAAAGTTTTCAGAATTTGGCCCATGCACAATCTGTACACCCAATTAAGCCACAACTTTTCAAATATTTAGCCCAGAAGTCTGTTCTTGCTCAGTAAACATAGGTTGGAAAATACACCAGAACTGTGGGCCAAATTCTCCACTGACTTCCAGTAAATCCTGTCTGATCATATTGTCTTCATTGGGGTTACACAGAATTTGGCTCTGTGTTTCTTCTTCATTTGGGACTTCCATACAAAGTATCACAAAAAGCCTAATCCTGCAAGCCTTACTTACACAAGCAGCCCCATTGACAGCAATTATCTCCAGAGATTCACACTGAGGTATAGCGAGTTCATGACACTGTGTAACCCACACACCTCTTGGGTGTGGTGTTCTGTCCCATTTAGTGGTACCAAGTAGAGATTAACGAGTCTGTTCTGCACCTTAGCTAACAGCTGTATGGCTTTTGTCTCATGCAGTAGAGGCTCATGCACTAAGCTCCAGAGGCCCCAGATTCAATGCCGCCCGCCGATGACCGAGGTCTGTCAGCATTACAACTGCTTCTGTAAGGACTGCTTGCAGGAGAGGAAGGGCTGAAGGACTGGGCCCATATTGTTTTGCAGTGAGTTAACCTTAAGATGAAATGGAAAAAAAGGTTTTTCTACTCTACAAGAGGAATTTCTCATGCATTACTCCCATGAGTCTTCCCAGGTGTAACAGACCTATTCCTCAGGCATCAAGATAAGCATTTAATACCAATATGAAACACACACAGAGCTAGGAAACTTCTCTTGGGACTTTTCTTCCCTGAATAAAAAAGGCACAACCAACCTGTCATTGCATCTTCTGATGTGTAGAACCCTTACCTTGAGGAATATTGCAGTCTGTGAGCCTAATAAAGCCCCTTTTAATTAGAACACCAATAGGGATGTTCCATCCAGCCATTCTCCCATATCCTGTGTGGCAGGACTTTTTCCCTTTCAGATCATTGATGGTGAAAGCATTGGAGGTGTTCCGTTTCACTAATGCCACAGCATAGTACATGTTGCTGTTGTCATCAGCTTGTTGGGAAGAAAAAAAATAATTATGCCTTTTCCTGAGTGGCCTTATTGTTTCATGAAAACCTGATTGATATGGCAGATCAATTATATCTCATTTGCTGCTAAATTCCTAACTCATCCTACATGAAAGAGATTGCACCAACAATTCCAGGTTATGGAACGTAATTTTTCCTCCTTTCATTATAAATACATAATTCTTAATTAGCTGTTTTACACTAACAATCTGACATTCATGTGGAGCCTTTCATTTATATAGATGCCTTTACTGCTGTCTTAATATAGAGATGGGTCTGAATTGCTTTTTCAAATGCCATGAAAATATTTCTATAAGTTTTAGTTTTTAGGAATTACCCCCCATCTTTTTTCCCCTTTTCATTTTGCAAAATCCTCCATTTGGGTCCTAAGCTACGTGACTAAGCTGCTTTAAAAAGCACATTGCTCATATGTAACTTTTACAGATTTGGAGCAAAAGCTCTAAACATTTTGCAGATTTCTATAGGCTCACCTTGATGACAAACACCACCACTAGTCAGCCTTTTATCACTCTACTTTTGAAAAGTATCAGTGAGGGGAAGAATTTGATCTCAGCTAGAACTTAAAATGTAAATTTCCGTATTATTTTCTTCTGTGAAAGTTCTTTCATTCATCCCCTGGGTGAAAAATGATGTTTGACATAGACAACAAAAGCTATGAACTAACACCACAAAATTCCAGAAACCTTCACATCTTTGCAGAACTGGTGAAAAGACAAAAAGTCACCAGTAACATTTTGGATAAACAATGTTACTCAGCCCTTTATTTGCACCTCATTGCTAAAGCACAAAATATTTGTTGTGGGTGGGTGCACAGAAAGGGCAGTAAGACATGCATGAGGTCAGATCATCAAAGAATAAGCACATAGAGCAGCCAGGGTCTGCCATTGACTTGTTGTGAGGCCTCCCCCCTCTGTGCCTCACTTTCCCTATTTGTAAAATGAGGATAACGATATTTACCCTCCTTTTTAAAGTGCTCTGACATGTATTGATGAAAAATGCTACATAAATACTGTCAAGGTTCCTTCCCCACTCTGAACGCTAGGGTACAGATGTGGGGACCTGCATGAAAACCTCCTAAGCTTACTTTTACCAGCTTAGGTTAAAACTTCCCCAAGGTACAAACTATTTTACCCTTTGCCCTTGGACTTTCGCTGCCACCACCAAATGTCTAACACCGGTATTATTATTATTAGGAAAGAGTTCGTTTGGAAATGTCTTTCCCCCCAAATCCTCCCAAATCTTACCCCCTTTTTTCTGGGGAAGGTTTGATAAAAATCCTCACCAATTTGCATAGGTGACCACAGACCCAAACCCTTGGATCTTAAGAACAATGAAAAAAACATTCAGTTTCTTAAAAGAAGAATTTTAATAGAAGAAAAAATAAAAAAGAATCACCTCTGTAAAAACAGGATGGTAAACATCTTACAGGGTAATTAGATTCAAAAAGTAGAGAATCCCTCTAGGCAAAACCTTAAGTTACAAAAAGACACAAAAACAGGAATATTCATTCTATTCAGCCCAGCTTATTTTCTCAGCCATTTAAAGAAATCAGAATCTAACGCATACCAAGCTAGATTACTTACTAAGTTCTAAAACTCCATTCCTGTTCTGTCCCCGGCAAAAGCATCACATAGACAGACCCAGACCCTTTGTTTCTCCCCCCTCCAGCTTTGAAAGTATCTTGTCTTCTCATTGGTCATTGTGGTCAGGTGCCAGCGATGTTATCCTAGCTTCTTAACCCTTTATAGATGAAAGGGTTTTTCCTCTGGCCAGGAGGGATTTTAAAGGTGTTTACCCTTCCCTTTATATTTATGACAAATACTAAGTATGATTATTGTGCAGCCCAAGTAGTAAGCAGGCAAAGTCCATTGACTTCTAAGGAGATGTGCACATACTTAAGCAGTGGTGAATATGGCTATGTAAAATATGCCATTGACAAATGCGAAGTTCTAAATGTGGGAGAGACTAATTGGAACTATTCATACACCATACTGGGGGTGTCAGCTAAGGAAAAGAATGTGGGAATCATTGTAGACAGCTCAGTGAAGACCTCTGGTCAATGTACATCTGCGGTTAAAAAACTAACAAAAATTAGCAATGGAATAGAGAATAATACAGAAAATATTATAATGCCATTATATAAATCAATGGACTGCCTCCACTAGAATACAGTGTGCAGTAATGGCCACCCCAGCTCAAAATGGCTATTGCAGAAATATATGGGTGTGTCAAAAATGGGTTACAAGAATGTTTGGGGCCTGGAGAGACTTTCATATGAAAAGAGACTGAAAAGGCAGGAACTGCTTAATAGATTATAAGGCCAGAAAAGGACCATTGTGATCATCTAGTCTGACCTCCTGTATATCACACGCTGAATAAGACTTTCTGAATTAATTCCTGGTTGAACTAGAGCAGATCACTTAGAAAAAACATCCAATCTTGATTTAAAAATTGCTAGTGATGAAGACTCCACAACGACCCTTGGTAAATTGTTCAAATTGTTAATTACCCTTTCTGTTAAAAATTTGTAACTTATTTCCAGTCTGAATTTGTCTAGCTTCATCTTCCAGGCATTGTATGTTGCTATACCTTTGTCTGCTAGACTGAAAAGCCCTCTATTATTAACTTTCTGGTCCTCGTGTAGGTACTTGTACACTGTGATCAAGTCACCTCGTAACCTTCTTTATTTTGGTAAGCTAAATAGATTGGGTTCCTTGAGCCTTTCACTATAAGCATGTTTTCCAAGGCTTTAATCATTCTTGTGGCTCTTCTTTGAACCTCCAATTTATCAAAATTTTTCTTGAATTATGAACACCAGAAGTGGACACACCAGCAGCTATCACATGAATGCCAAATGCAGAAGTAATATAACCTCATATAGGCACCAAATTTCTAATCTGCTGGGGGGTGCTCCCACCAGCTCCACCCAGGCCCCTTCCCCACTCCACCCCTTCCCCCAGTGTCACCCCCACCCTGAATCTTCCCACCCCACTCCGCCCCTGCCCTGCCTCTTCCCGCCCCACCCCACCTCTTCCCTGCCCAGTCCCTCCCTAGGGTGACCAGATAGCAAGTGTGAAAAATCAGGACAGGGGGTGGAGGGGTAATAGGAGCCCATATAAAAAACAGCCCCAAATATCAGGACTGTCCCTATAAAATCAGGACATCTAGTCACCTTAGTCCCTCCCCCTGCATCCTCACACCTCCTGACACCGCGAAACAGCTGATCCATGGCAGGCAGTAGGCACTGGGAGGGAGGGAGAGGCGCTGATCAGTAGGGCCTGCCAGTGGCAGGAGGCACTGGAGGGAGGGAGAGGCCTTGATAGCAGGGCTGCTAGTGGGGTTTGAGCACCCACCATTTTTTCCCCGTGGGTACTCCAGCCCCAAAGCCCTCATGGAGTTGGTGCCTATGTAACCTCCTTACGTCTACCTGAGAGTCACAGAATCATAGGACTAGAAGGGACCTGTAGAGCTCATCTAGTTCAGTCCCCTGTCATGGCAGGATTAAGTATTATCTAGCCCATCCCTGACAGGTGTTTGTCTAACCTGCTCTTAAAAAGCTCCAGTGATGGAGTTTCCCCAGCCTCCCTAAGCAATTTATTCCAGTGGTTAACTACGCTGACAGTTAGGAAGTTTTTCCTAATGTCCACCATAAACCACCCTTGCTGCAATTTAAGACCATTGCTTCTTGTTCTATCCTCAGAAGTTAGGAGTAATTTTTTTCTCCCTACTCCTTGTAACAACCTTTTATGTACTTGAAAATTGTTATCATGGCCCCTCTCAATCTTCTCTTCTTCAGACTAAACAAACCCAATTTTTTCAATCTTCCCTCATCGCTCATGTTTTCAATAATTTTTATTACTCTATTCTGGACTTTCTCCAATTTGTCCACATCTTTCCTGAAATGTGGCACCCAGAACTGGACAAAATACTCCAGTTGAGGCCTAATCATTCTGGAGTAGAGCAGAAGAATAACACTCCTGCATCCGACGAAGTGAGCTGTAGCTCACGAAAGCTTATGCTCTAATAAATTTGTTAGTCTCTAAGGTGCCACAAGTACTCCTTTTCTTTTTACTCCTGCTAATACATCCAGAATTACGTTTGGTTTTTTTGTGTGCAAGTGTTACACTGTTGACTCATATTTAGCTTGTGATCCGCTATGATCCTCGCTAGGTAATCATTTTCCATTTTGTACATGTGCAACTGATTGTTCCTTCCTAAACAGAGTACTTTGCATTTTTCTTTATTGAATTTCATCCTATTTGCTTCAGACCATTTCTCCAGTTTGTCCAGATCATTCTGAATTTTAATCCTATCCCCCAAAGCACTTGCAATCCCTCCCAACTTGGTATCATCCGCAAACTTTATAAGTGTACTCTCTATGCCATTATCTAAATAATTGATGAAGATATTGAACAGAACTGGAGCCAGAACTGATCCCTGCAAGGCCCCACTTGTTATGCCTTTCCAGATTGACTGTGAACCACTGATAACTACTCTCTGGGAATGGTTTTCCAACCAGTTGTGCACCCATCATCTAGTAGTTCCATCTAGGTTGTATTTCCCTAGTTTGTTTATGAGAAGGTCATGCAAGACAGCATCAAAAGCCTTACTAAAGTCAAGATATACCCCACCTATCGCTTTCCCCCTATTTGTCAGACTTGTTATCCTGTCAACAAAAGTTATCAGGTTGCTTTTACATGATTTGTTCTTGACAGATCCATGCTGACTGTTACTTATCACCTTATTTTCTTCTAGCTGTTTGCAAACTGATTGCTTAATAATGTGCTCCATTTTCTTTCCAGGTATTGAAATTAAGCTGACCGGTCTAATTCGCCAGACTGTCCTTATCCCCTTTTTATATATTGGCACTATATTTGCTTTTTTCCAGTCCTCTGGAATCTCTCCTGTCTTCCATGACTTTTCGAAGATAATCACTAATGACTCAGATATCTCCTCAGGCAGCTC